CCAAAGAAAGGAACCAAAATCACTTATTAGCCAAGTAAATTCTGAAATTGTTACTAAGTTTCATGAGACCAACATTTGGAATGTGAATAGCAGCTGCCTTATCTGATACAAGGTTTCATACAAGGTACTGCCTTCTGTGGTGACAGGAATAGTGGACGCTGGAAACAATGCAGAAGTGATGCGTGTTACATTTTTGGCATTGGCTTAGTTAAATACCTGGCCGAATAAAAGTTTATGAGGAACTAAGTGGAATTAAAAAGTGTTGAGGTTTGTTCTTCCATTTGTTGTGTTATAATATAAAAATAAACATGAATATTAGGGATCCTAGTAACATCTGAGCATGTGTTTAAGATATAGTAAAGGATCAAAATTCCTGAGGCACATGAGAATCAGGTTTTAGAGAGCATGCAGGAAATGGTACTGTGGAAGAGACTTTCAGTGAGAATCCTACTTGCCATCAATTCCACATTCGCTTTCTGAAGTGATGGAAAAAAAGAGGTGCGAAGAGACCTGTCTCTTCTCAAGCTCAGATCTGGTGTATATAGTTTTAATACTCTTCAGAGCATCCCTTATGTTTTATCTACTGCAGTTTGGGTGGTAGAATTTCTAGCACTTATTTTTCCCTCTTATCCTGCTTTTTTTTTTTTTTTTTGGTAACAGTTACAATTTGTTTTTGTTTTAATTTCTAAAACCTTATCCAGTTCCCTGGCTTCTGATCAGCTGGACCAGAAAAAGCCTCATTTTTCTCAGTTGTTAAACTCTTCAGCTCTTGTCAACGAGTGTCATACTCTATTTATTTTCCTTAAAGAAGATACTGTGTGAACGTGATCTTAATTCCCATTTCCCAAGAGCAGCAGAAATTGTTATTGGTTTACTTTTAAAGTTCAACTGCATAAAGCACTGGGCACTGTACTGGAGGGGAAATAATTCTGAAGTAGGAAAGGATTGAAATAGATGTGGTTAGAAGCCCAAATTAGTATTATGTACAGTTGGCCAAGAACCTGCCCTTTTAAGAAGAATGGGATTCCTTTTAGGCTTTACCACTAGCTTGTGAAGATGTGCAAAAATATGTTAGGTTGCCTATAAATCAAAGGTATTTTAGGCATACACGTTATTGTACAGTTGGGTTCAGGCAGGGATAACAGGTTATTACACTTCATTATGTTAAAATGCACCACAGTTAAAGACAGTCATTCCATACTACTGTCGAATTTCTCAAAAGTGTTTATAAAGAATATATCCTGAAACTATGTCGTTTTTCCTTTGTTGTTCTTGTTTTAAGGTGAGTTTGTGTTTTCACACGTGTGCACTATAGTTGCAAATTGTAGTAGTCTAAGGACTTCTGGTTTTTCTCTGTGTAGAGCCACTTAGTTTTACAGGACAAGGTGATATATTTCTGACCTGTAACACAATTTACTAAAACTGTGTTAGTTACCCCTAGTATATTGTATTTGGTGAAGGACTACAAGAGAACAAATTTGATAGAAATCAAAAAAACCCAACCCAGTCTGAAATGGTGATGTGTAACCTTGTAATGCAAGAGCAAATAAAATAAATAACCAATTTTTAGCACTGGCAAAAATTTAGCCATTGTGTGTGTATTGAGATTTGTCTTTAGGACATCAGATAATTGGAAGAGAGGGTAGGCTATTAGAGGCAGAACATCTGATGTAGTCAAAATGTTCTTGCAAGATAGTTACAAGAATAATTGAATAGGTTAAAATACGGCTTCCCTTCAGCTCGTGGTTACTGCCCCCTTAGCTCAGGCAATGAATGCTTCTAGCCTATTTTAATTCAAAGTAAGGCAAGACCATTTTAATCACCAGTGGAGCAGCTGGTACTGGCCTCTGTCAGGAGGAGGATACTGATCTTGTTTGAAACTGTGTTCTCTCTATTTCTTTAATGGGAAAATACATTTCAGAGATCAGAGAATGGGACTTAAAAATCAGTTGGGAAAAGGAATTGTGGTTTTTTTTGCCAAATAATTCCCTATCTTATGCCATTCAACGTGTGTTGAGGATGCTTAGCTTTTATAAGTGAAAAGCTTTTGCCTCTGGGTCTGAAAGTTGTGCAGACATCTGAACTATTAATGCAATGGGGAGCCAGGAAGGTAGAGAGACTGATGCATCCTGGCCCAGTACTTAGCAAGCAGTATCAGCATTCCCACTTGGCTGTAATCCAAATGCTGTGCCTCTGTATCTTTGTTTTGAAGAATCAATGTAGATTGACTTGAGTTCAGGGGAGGATTTTGTCAGTCAGCTTTCAAGTAGGAACATTGAGGCCAGTCCCTTGTTTGTGGAACTGACAGGACAAAAGTGAGTGTTTGACACGAGGCTTGCTCAGTGGATGGGGATAGAGGCTGTTGAGATTTTTCAGAGATCAGGCTGTAAATGAAGTTGTTCTGTTGGGTCACTCATCTGATTTACACACAAGCTGTTTCTATTGAAGCACCTGGGGCCTTTTGTTCATGCTTGTGAATAAGCCTCTTTCAGTCACCAACAGTAATTTAGCATCTCTGCTTCCTTCAATAGGTAAAAGGCAAGTACAGGAATGACATTTTCTCCTACACTGTGCACAGCTTTACACTTATTTTTCAAGATAGGTAACAGAACTGTATCAGTAATATAAATTTATTATATAGTGGAGCAGATTCAGAAGTCATCTAAGGGGTTGGTAGTTTTTTACTGCATACTTCCTAATTCTGGAATAATTCTAAGCAGCGGGAGTGCTTGGGTGAGTAATGATATCCTCTAGGTACAGAGAGTTCTGCAGAATGGACTTCCTATGTTTCCCTTTGTTATCATGGCAATTTTAGAGGAGGACATTGCATTAACTTGTAAATGTCCTAGCACAATGGAGTGCCCTACCTGCAGCTTGTAGTGACTGTGCCATAATCTCACATAAACTTTGAGGCAGCGTACACTTGTCTTTCCATTGACAGAGTGAGCCTCATTCCTCTGCCTCTGTATCTTTCTGTGGTCAGTGTAAATATTTAAAGTAACTTCTTTTATCTTGTCAATCAAACTTAATGACAATCAGTTCCTTGAGTTCATTATCACAGCATGAAAACTTGAGCCAGCACAAGGGACGAGAAAGCTTGAGAAGAGGGAATAAATGATTGTGGCAAGGCTTTGATAAGTCTGGTTGGGGAAAAAAAGATCATCCCATATTTATTTTGTGTTAAAAGTCCAGGATGGTTAATGGTAAACAGCTGATGCTTACCTAGTGAATTTGCTCTGCACCATAAGAAGTACCATATTGTAGTTAATCTTCCTTGTTACTGTGATGTTCTTGGAAAGTAATAACTTTAGTAAATTTATCCAATTGGGGAAGTGTTTAATCGTAGATGTCCACTTCACATATATATATATGTATTTATATATATTTAAGGCTGACTGTCACAACAGCTTCTAATTGCTGCAGTGATACAAATTACATTGCAAAGAAAAGATTGCTGGCATTTGGAAGGTCTTTGTATGTGGGAGTGTTTGTTTTCTGAGAGGTTAGGATGACAGACAAGGAAGTAGGGCTCAGATTTTTGTTGCTTGTTATACTATGGGTCTGTTTTATTTTTGTCTTCAGAAGGGGCAGTATCTACAAACTGATGTGATGTAATACTATGAAATACTCAAGCACTTGAGATTCAGTGTCTTTATAAAGTGAAGAGGGTTTTTTTGTGGGTTTTTTTTTTCCAATGAAAATTAGGTGAAGAATTTACTCCAAGGTATCATAAACTTTTAATAAGCACATTTGTATAGGCTATGTTTCCCAACAATCTTTTAATATTCTTTCTGGAACAACAGTGTGAATTGTAACAAAGTACAGCAAAGAATGTGGTGATAGACAGGGTTAATCTCTCTGTGGCTGTCTGCACAGTACCAGATTATGGATGTTAGTGATCACCTTTCTGTTAATTCAAGGATGGGTTATGTTGCTCTTACATACTAATTTAGTGCAAGATTGTGCAAAGTTTTCTAGCCCTCGTAAGAGCAGCAAGAAATGGTGGCTCAGAAGGCAGCTGTCACTTCATCCCAATTCCAGCTGCTCATTCTGCTCAGATTTCTTTCCATTCTCCCTTAAAAAAAATAGGGGGGAGGAGGGAGGGAAGGGGATTACAAAAAAGAATAATATGAGGGTTAGAAATCTCTAGCATCTAATTTATCACATCCTACAGTTTTCACAGCTATTTGCCAATTTAAAATATCCTTGTGGTTTTTTTTCTGCTTTGCCAGTAATTAGACAAATGCAGCAGTGCTTATGGCATCAAAAACTGTGGCTGGTGAAAGCAATTGCTATCATAATGCATCCCTAAATTTAATAGTAGTGGTGTAAAATGAACAAGCAACTCATTGTATTTCAGGGGTAATGGCTTTAACTATCAAAATGGCTAGTATTTTCCTTGATTGGCTGCTTCTGGCTCCTTTATTTGTGTTTGGAGGAACCGAATTGATTTATTGTAATAACTGTATTTTATTTAACAAATAACAAGGCAAGCAGAAACATGAAACTCCTATAAAGTGCCACCAATTTCCCATTCACGTTGGACTGCAGGTTTTTCCTTTTATTCTGTCTACACACCAACCCCAAGCTTTTTCTTTCCCTGCCCGTATTACACTTAAAGTTGCCATTTCCTGTTCTGCTTCCCTTGCAAAATTGCTTGCTTTGTGTCGTGCCTGGAGCATGGCTGTGCATGGAGAAGAGGTCTGATTAATTGGAAAGAAACTTTCTGTTAATGGAAAAACTCACACATTGGTGTAGAAAATTGATTAAAAAAAATTACTTTCTTGGTCCATAGTGCCTTTTTCTTGCTACCATGACACCTGTAAAGCTTCTCTCGAGGAAAAGACTCATCAGCAGTTTGTATTCTCTTAAAAGATGTCTCAGTCTTTAAGGGCAGGTGCAGTTGTGTTGATGCCATTTGGCTAAGCCTTTAAAAGTTCCTGTAATCTGTGCCATCCTGTCTCATACAGTCCCATCTCATAGTTGTCCTTTCTCTGCAGTGCTCTATGCCCAGATCTCTGTGGCTGGGCTGCTCCAGCCTGGCGGACAGCATGCCCTCGCTGCGATGCCTGTATAACCCAGGGACTGGCGCACTCCCAGCTTTCCAGGTACTTTCTGTCTCTCCCTACTCCTCCTTTTCTCACCATCTGTGTACATGCGCATCTCCTTCTTGCTTTACCTCCATTTATTCTGCTTCATACTGTATGCCTCTCCAATGTCATTCAGATCTTTGCTATTTAAACCCATCTTGTGTAGATTCAGGGCAGCTCAGTGCTGGGGCATTTCCATTATCTCAATATAATTATTTTGTCTAAGTTCACTTGGTACCATCATCTTTTTCCATTGACTTTCAATTCTGTCAAAAATATACCACTTAATTATATTTGGCAAACAGTCTCCATCACACAGTCTCCAATCTGGCTATTCATGCCGTGATTCCCCTCCTATCTAAATTTTATGTATGCTACTCAGAGGACGAAGGGGGTGGGTTCATTGCCATAGTGATAATTGGTGCCAGCATTTGTTTACTTCAGGTTTGCTAACAGTAGTCTGGACATTTTGACTACAGAAAATTGTTGTACAAGTAAGCTGTCATTCAAAACGAAAATAAAGGAAATATGGGGTATTTTCCCTTTAGTTTCTGAATTTGTAAGGCTCAACCTTTTCTCTGTCATAAGACAGCTTTCAGCTTTCTGCCAGACAGGTTTGTTCAGGCGCTTTGGGTGACCAGTGCATGCAGACACACTCCTGTGGGTAGAGAGTGAGGCATCAATTAGGTAGGCATCTAGAAACCCAGGCAAAGTTCTCAAGATCATTGCAAGCAATTTATAATGACATGTGGATATAAATATCACAGACTGAGCAGCAGAGATGTTGTGTTCATATTGGGTACTGTGAGATGCATGAACTGCAGAGACTTGTTGTGGTTTAAGCCCAGGTTTAACTCAGAACCATGCAGCCACTTGCTCACTCCCCTGTCCCCAGAGGGATGGGGAGGAGAGTAGAAAGAATGTAACTTCCACAGGTTGAGATAAGAACAGTCCAGTAACTACCACCAATAATAATAATGATAAGGGAAATAACAAGGGAAGAGAGTACAACTGCTCACCATCTGCTGACCGATACCCCACCCAACCCATCAGTGATCTAGCCGTTCCATGTAACTCCCCACCAGTTTATATACTGGGCATGATGGAATATCCCTTTGGCTAGTTTGGGTCAGATGTCCTGTCTCTGCTTCCTCCCAGCTTCCCCTCCTCCCTGACAGTGCATGAGACTCAGAAAGTCCTTGGTCAGAGTAAACATTACTGAGCAACAACTAAAAACATCGGTGTTATCAGTGCTGTTCCCAGGCTGAAAGTCATAAACACAGCACTGCACCAGCTACTAAGAAGGAGAAAAATGTCTGCTACTGCTGAACCCAGGACAAGTCTAAAGGACCTTGTGTGTAGAGTGTGCTTACTGGAGCTCAGGATAGCATGAACATTTACTTCAAGTTTTATGCTTCTGCTGACCTACACTGTGGCAGAGTTTTATTCAGCAGCATTTTGCAGGCCCGGACATAATGAATACGCTAGAATCCTTCTGAAATTTTCAGTCATATTGGTTATTTTATCATTTTCATTATCTGTCTCTGAAAGCATGCAAAGATTATTTTGAATTTGCCTTCTTGCTCCCAGGGCTAGGAGAGTACTGTGGAAATAATCCTCTCAGTCTCAGGGGAGGCTTAAGTGTCTTGCGTCATTTTGCTGCAACTCTTTTTGCTGACCCAGCAGTAGCGCTGATGGACTCTGGAAGGTGTCCTGCCAGGCCTCCTTTGCTGAAGCAAGCTTTTAGTAGAGCTTTCCGTGGGGGAGGGGGGAGATGACTTCTTTATTAGTCTAAGAGGCCTCTGGAGACAACAGGCAGAGTTTAGACTCCCACTTCTAATCCTGATTTGCATAATTTGACTAAATCGGATGGGCCTCATTTTGGGGCTTTTGGCTGTTGAATAAATCTCAGATCCCTTTAAGCTCAGGTTTTGGAGAACCTTAGCTGTATATAGAAAGCAATTTATATACTCAAACTGGGACTCCTTTCTTTCTACTTGAATTATTTTTGATTACTCAGAATAAGCGTATATTGCAAAGGGAAAGGGAAATTAGCCTCTTTTAGCTCAAGATGTTCTTGCTAATGATAAACAATAACTTTTCTGCTAATGCAGTGCAATGATATTTGGGGTCAGAAGAGTCAGCTGAACAGCCCTTCACCTTGTACTGCCTTTTTAAGAGTGTAGTAGGGCTTGGACATTTGCAGTCCTGTAGATTTTGAGAGACATTTCCATGCATATTTAGTGACTGTGGGAATTGGGGAAGTCTGCCCCACTGCCATCTAAAATGATGTAGTGGTATTCTTTATAATGCTCTGCTGTGTTGAAGAACATACTTAGTGCCATTTGAGAGGGAAACTAAATTGCCAGTAACAGCTTCTGCAGCAATGAGTCATCCGTATTTCAGTCCACTTTTTTCACTGGGCTTTGATTCTCCATTAACTTGCATGGTTTGGAGAAAATTCCCCTCTGTGAGGCATAGTTTCTCCATTTCACAGTGCACAAGTCTGCATGGGAGTGGTTTGGAGCCTGCTTGATGCAGTGATGTTGCAATATTTCATCGTTCTTTAATGGTGGTTTTGGTATCGAATCTTCAGGAAAGCATTAAAGACTTTCTTGTAGCCCAGCAAATTTTGTCATATTAAGTTATTTCCTTTTTTCTGTAGCAAGCTTGTAGTAACTGGAGAAGCATATCAATGTTCTTTGCTTGTGGCAAAAGAAAAGATGCCATCTGGAAGGCTACTTAGTCACTGGTGAATTTGTCTAGTTATTTACATGCTTACCTTCAGATGCTCAGGCAGAAATGTGCAAAGAGGCTCTTTTTGAATAGCTCAGTTAAAGCCCTGCTGACTCCTCATGGGAAACATTGGCAGGTAGTCGATTTAGAGATGATTTGGGAAACATGTCAGATAACTTCATTTTTCTTCTTTGCGTGCTTTTATTATTGGAGGTGCTTGTGTGGAAACAGGATCTTCTGGTTCCTCAGCTCTGTTTAGTAATCCTCCCACAGTGGGAAAGGTTTTAATGCTAAACCTATGAATAGATGAATAAGGAGCTAGAAACACTTCTTTTTAACATCTTTTATCTCAAAGGGCTTTGCTACTGATAGTCTATTGTGTAACTGAATTTCATAGAGCTCATGGTGGAAGATGGAAGCAAATTGGAACATGAACTTCTATAAGGCACTGTGGGAAGGGGTCAAAGAGGGTATTTTAGCAAGAGAAAAAGGCCAGCTGTTTCATTTTGTGTCTCGGATGCCAAATTTTACTGTACTCTGATTCTGCAAGGCTACTGAAAACTAGGTTGCATGTAGATTCTCTTAATAGCAATAATAAATTTATGCAGACGGTATTCTTTTTTCCTAGAAATCCAGGCTTTGGAAGTTTCCAGATTTACCAACAAATGTCTGTTTTCATGGCATTTTGCATTTAAAGATAATTACTTTCCCTTTTAAAATATTTTCCATGTATGCTCACAAGGCTCTATTCATGTTACTTTTACTAATCATAGTTCCTTGCAAATTCTAATTTACAATTACACCCATCAGCTATGTCAAAGAAATGACTTTGTATTAATCCTTCCAGGTTTGCAGAAGACCATAATATTCCCTTGAATTTACTTCTGTGAGCTATTGTATAAATGAAGAGATTTATGGAGCAAGTTAAAAGTCTTGCCAAAGGTTATGTATCAGGGTCAGCACAGAGAGCAGCCCAGCTCTTCCTTTTTACCTAATTGACACTCATCACAAATATCAGCCTCAGTTTAGATTGTAAACTTTCTGGGACAAAAGTCCTGGTTTTTCTTCTTTGTGCACCAGTGAAAAAGCAGAGTTGTCTTGTTGGCTTTATTTTGCCAGATCTGAAACACTCTTTCTGTAGCAGGCTCTAGTAGGCAAAGAGGAGGATGAGCTTTTGTGGCAGAGGTAGCAGCATGTTGCACACAGAAGTGTGTCTTTGGAATGCCTGAAATTCACGTTTTGCTTTGCCCGAAGTGAAGGTATTGCTCATAAACAATGGCACACCAGGGTTTGTCAGATGGAGGGGACTACCCTCTGCTCTGTTTTGCCCCTGTCGGTCTTGCCTGGAAGCTCTGTCCTGGTTGGGGAAACCATGGGTGGACTGTGCCGGGCAAACTGAAGTAAACCGGGCCACACTTGAGGTGGTGCAGCACAGGCATGGTGTATACCGCTTCTGTCTTTGGACTGAGTTCACTTTTGGAGAGAGGTGAGAGTAGGAAGGATGTAAATGATCTGTAGTAATGGAAGCCTGTGGCACCCATGAGACAGAGATGAACTCATTTGCCAAATTATTTTTACATCTATTTTTTCCTAATGTTTATGTTTTTGAGTTAGGAAGTGGAATATTTGTTAAGAAGGCGTTGTCAGTAAATTGTCAAAACAGTTGTCTCTGAATTTCCTTTGGCCTGTTCACGCATTTTTGCCTTAAAAGCTGACATTTTATTGCTGGGAAATACGGTGTAAATGTGAGTAGTAGTACATTGTTTATGGTTACACAGGAGGTTAAAGCTAAAGTGTTGGGGTGGACAGACTGTGCATGCTCAGAATCGTGTTTGTGAGAAACACATCTGAAGGAAATTGGTTTTGGAGCCAGTGTTTGCTGGTGTGTGTAGTTCTGTCTCTAATTGGGAGAGGGATGGGGTGTCCAGTCAGCAGACCTCATCAGTAGGGAGATGTGGCCGCCCTTGACCAAGCACGGCTTTGTGTCCCCCACCTCGCGCTGTCCCAGCGGCCGTGTGAAATCTGCCCATGGGCTGTTGACGGTGCCTCTAAAGCGGAACCATGATTTTGGTGACAAATAGCCAGAGCGTGTGGCTGCAGCACCCCCCGGCTGGCGGCAGGCTCTCCCCTGGTTATGAATGTAGTTAGGTGGCCCCCAACTGTTTACAAGACAGCAGAGGTGAGATCTTTGATTGACAAGTCAGAAATGCATTAGATCATTCCCTCTGCCAGTCTCTGCTTCATGCTGTTAAAAATGTCAGCCTCTCCAAGTTTGAATGGCA